AATCACGTACGTAATAATATTAGTGTGTGACACGATACAAACTTTATGTCAAATTAAAATAAATAAATGAGTACAGTATTGCTATGGAACCGCGTGCGTAGTAAACTTAGTGTGTGCCTCCATGCAAACTTTATATCAAATTAAAATAAATAAATGAGTAGTGTATTGATATGAAACCGCAAGCGTAGTAATGTTGGTGCGTAACTCGCTACAAATTTTATGTCAAATCAAGATAAATAAATGGATAGTTATTGCTTTTGAACCATGTGCGTAGTAAAATTGGCGAGTGACTCCATGCGTACATTATGTCAAATCATATTAAATTGGAAGATTGATTGTCCAATTAATATACTACTTATATATATATATATATGTTATTATTATAATTTAATTTTATCATTTTCTTTCATCAATGCTTTCCCTATTACTCCCTCCGTCCCAAAAAGTCTTTCTTGTTTCATTTTTTGCGCATCCCATAAAACACTTCTACCAACATCTAAAATGTCTAAAATTTACAACATTTCTTCTTTATTGTGGGTAGAAGTTATTTTGAAAGTTTTTTTTGGCATTCAAGGCGGGATAGAAGTGTTTTATGGGATGCGCAAAAAATGAAACAGGAAAGACTTTTTTTTGGGACGAAGGGAGTATATAATTTATAATTGGGCCGTGCAACGCACGGGTACGAGTCTAGTAAATATGTCAAACACAAGATCTTTTCAAAACATACATTTATAGTATAATACATCTTAGCACTTTGGTTTTGTCAACTTGTATTTCATGGAGTAACAATTTACCAAAACTGCTTCAATAATAAGGTTACCACGGGAGTATGTCCATAAAAAGGTTTGGTTCATAAATAAGTACCGGGTAGTATTTATCATAGTCCATAGTCTATAATTTTTCTTTTTAAGGGTAAGAACCCTCTAATGCAAAAATTTAAGCTGAAAGCTCTAAAAAAAGAACTTCAAACGAACTCATGTTCATAAAGATGATTATAAAATAGAAGAAAACAAAGAACAAAGTGACAGTAATCATATTTTTTAAAAAAGTTTTAAATGTTGTTTCTAATTAAACCAAAGCAGAATTTATAATTAAAAGAGCCGATAAACAAAAGTACTTCTTTTGTTTATCTTATAAGTACTTCGAGATTGATCCCCCGAAGTCTATTTGCTTCCATTTAGCCTCTTGTAAACAAGAGATGTTGGAACAATAAAAAATAATTTTAATATTTGTGACTGCACCTTGAAAAATAAAGCATTCTAAGTTGCCTACGTACTCCAATGAAGGGGATCAAGCCACACGTAGTTCAAAACAGGGTTAGTTAAATTAACCGGATAAACCTTCAAGGCGCGTGATCCTTGGAAACGCTTTCCTAAAAGTTCTTTATCTACCCTATTATAAGCAACAAGGGTTACAAGACAGAACTTTTGGAATACAATGAAGAGGACCAAATTGTTCGGTTGCTCTACGAAACAATTTGTTAATGTACTTTAACGAGACTTGTCTCGAGAGAAAGGAGACGAAAAAACATTGAAAAATACACTAATTAATATTTCATCATCACAGAATAAATATAAGAAATAAATACAATATTTCTTCATTATTCTAAATAATCAATGAAATAATAATTAATAACAAATCATTTTTCTAACATAATTTTTCCCCTCTTTTTTTTGCATTGTGACATGGGCCTTATTTATAGAAAATAATATGTCCCTTTATAAATGATCATGTCTCTTTTGTAAGAGACACACCCATTTAATTAAAAACTTCCAATTTAAATTCAAAATAAATATTCAAGAGTTGTGTCATTTAAGAATAAACATGTCTCTTCAAAGAGTTGTGCCTATTTATTTAAAATTCAATTTTGAATTCAAAATAAATCTCCAACAAGAGAGATGGAGTAGCTGAAAGTCTGAAACCATCTCCATCTTTCTCACCCATGAAGAGTGAAAAGAATGAAGAAAAATAAGTTTTGATCAACGGTAGCAAAACTTGTAAGAACAAATGAGCATGCTCAGAAAGGTATAGAGAATTAAGGGATAAATGTATCATTAAACATTCCATTCCACCTGTACTCAAGAGGAGAAGATAAATAATAATGAATAATGAATTTAAGATTAGAGAATCAATTGATATCTAAATACCTAAGAAATATACGAAATGACACAATGATTAGTTGTTGTTGGGCATGTTGGATTTATAAATTGAAGAACACTGCGAAGCAGTGTTAAACGAAGAACTCGATAGAATAACGAATCGCGTACGAAACGCTTTCAGATCAAAGTTATTTCGGGGTATACGAAATACTTCAATCGGATAAGACGTTAATTCAGAACAAGCACTCGAGAATCTATCTTTCAACCCATACCACGAGACTCTATTTTATAGAGTCGAAAATCCTTGTGATCGGACATGAACATTCGCGTAGATGTACGCGTATGTTCGCGCAAGAAGAAGGAAGGTGCGAGTTTGAACGAAAGGTCTCCTGCGGTTAATTTCGACGTTTATCCATTATGTACGAGTCCTTTACCGTTTAGGACTTCGGTCACGAAAATCTTAAGGATTTTCTTAAAGAAACAGCCCCTTGGACCCCGCCACCCGGGGGCTGCCGCCCCCGGACCCCGCAGTGAATTTATAATATCGTTGAACGAGCGCGCACTCCGCGCCTCCTAACTCGTTTGACAACGTCTATTTAAATTCTTGTCCGATCAAAGTAAATCCAATTACACAAAATAAATTGATGACACTAAAATCACCAACAATCCTCCCCTATTTTAGTGTAATCCATGACTTACTTTCTGAGATAATAGATTCAACAAACTTATGCATAAATGAAAATGTCGCGACGATTGAATTTTCATCTTAGTATATTACACATTCCAAATATTCGAATTTCGGGGTGTCTCTAAGGATTGAACCCTTGCAATTCATATGAATACATGAAGATAATATACACATAAGCTCTAAGTACTTCTTTGTTCCAAGCTTGACACCGTATTTTACTAGCCTTGTGTCCCTATCCTTCAACGAGCACATAAAAGTCAAGTCCAAACTTTGTGAAGTGGCTAAACTTCATACTTGTATAGGTAGTTCTTTTATGTCTTGTACCTGCACATACAATTTTTCAAAAGAACTATTAAGAAGATTAACTTCAACCTCTTTAACTTGCAGTTTTGAACACATACCTTTGGATGATGCTAATGTTGTGTTCCAATCTCTTGATGTTAAGCTTTCCACATTGAATTCTACACCTAACGT